GACTATTGTGCCAGTTAATAATTTGTACTTCATGACGTTAGTTTACAGCATGATTCTGACTAGTAGTATTCAAATGTGTTTTAGTTAATATGATTTTTTAAATTAACCTTTTCTTGGATATTCATTCTAATACTTAATGCTCTAGGTTGACTATCTTAGTTACATTTTGGTACAAATGTTTAATGTTTATGGAGACCCTCATGCTACCCGAACTCAAGGTTCACCTTCACATGGAAGTGAAGGGGCAATGACTGTTGAAAATGTGTTTCCTTCATCCCTCATTAGAAACTGATATGGTTTGATTGAGATAGGAAAGCGGCTCCTGATTGCACAAATGAACTGGAGAATGAGACAGGTCATGAGATGCGAAATGACACCATCTTCTTGATTCACTCCAGCTCCTCTCCACTCCACACCGCAGTAGCTTACTGTTAATTAGTGAGAAAGATAGGTGTGACAGAGAAATAGGGTCTCAGCTTGCAACTGATGACCTGGCATTCTCTATTTAGCACGTATTCGCGATCTCGTAGGACCCTCCCTTCCCTTGTGTTTTTGAAATAAAGGGGTTGAAGAGCGTATTCTTCATTACCTCATTGCATATCTCCTCAGTGTGACTCTGGAGGGCCGTTACTCTGGAGGGATAGGCTTTCGGTAGTTGTTGTTTTGCTTCTCTGTGTGGAGCTGTGAGATGCCCGAATTTCTCAAAAGAGGATGCCCTCATGCGAAAATACCAAAAGAACGGCTCAGGGTCTTTCTGCAATTCGGTGAAAAGGTGATGGTATTCATCGAATCGCTGCTTTTGGGAATTAATGAGATGCACCCACAACTTCTTCCACCATCTCTTTCCCATCAGCACAAAAAAACATGGGTAGACAACAGTTATTCTTCACTCTCCTCCATGCTGCTCAACAAGACCACCACTGGAGCAGATGGTGAACTGAACTGGCATTACAGTTGTGCATCCGTATCCACCTGACTGAGCTTGACTGAAGGGACTGGACTGACCAATGACTAAACGTGACTAGACTTGACTGATTCGATGTACTCGTAGAGGTATCCGTTGGTAATGGTGAAAGCACGACTGATCTTGACTAAAGTGACTTGACTGAAGCATGACTTGCTTTGACTAGACGTGACTGAACCATGACTAACTTTGACTGGACTGGACTAGACTAAAACTAGACTGATCCGGTGTGAAGGCACTAACATAATTTGACTGGTGCCACGTTGGAGAATCTAGCAGGGATTGGTCACTCTTCCTACCTAGCATACTACTGCAAACTGCTTATCTGCGTCATTTTGAGGAGTGGTCCCTGATTCAGTTTCGGCTTAAGATGCCTTTCCTAGCTTACGGATTACCGAATTAGTGAGCTTCCCCTTCCCCATAGAATTTTGCTTGTCCCCTTTAGGACAAGAAAAATATCGCACTCATGTTACTCCACTCGGGCATCCTAGCCCCTCCTTTCTCCCTTCGTCCCAAGGAATCATCTGGTATCCTGCCTTGTCACCTGCATGTGTGACGGAGACAGAAACAAACCACTCTTCATTGAGGAGGTCATGGTTATGGGAACTTGCAGGGTGACGTCAATAAGAAAAGAGGCTGAGAGGACTTTCAGACTCACTCCCTCTCCTATAGTCGAAACAATAGGATTTTTACTTCCTCTTTCCCTCTTGTAGTCCTGGTCAGCACACAGCCTTCCCCCGCGCACTGTTGTATCCCTGCTCTCTTGCCCTGTTCTTCTTTAATCGTCAAAGAGCTTAATGAAGCAAGAGTTGACACATGGGATCAAATCTGGACAAATAAAAGAAGTTTTCACGGGTAACAGCGGATTCCCTGCAGAAAAAAAGGACTCTTTCTTTACGAAAATCTATTATAGGATTCCTATATGTCCTATAGTCCTAAAGGAATATATAGGAATCAATGTGAATATCACAGTCTTTATTTTTAATCTTCCAAGCGATTTAGACATACTACTTTCACACTTGAATAATTAATTAATGATTGAATTTAAAATGTATTGCAATAGCAATAGGTTCGATAATACGTTGAAATGCTTCATGCCAAATACGTAGTCTTTTTTATGCATTGACAAACACAGGAAACACATGTTAGTCCTTGTTAGCCATAGAGTCGTATGGTGTCGGTCTTACTTATCCAAACCGTAATCCGATTGCATACTAAATTTAATTGATTCATGAGCTGGTCGAACACAGACCATAACTACATTGAAGGGGAAATGATTGACCTGTTAGTTGTGTAGCAGCTAATTGTGCTGCTGACACAAGGGTACATTTTCCTCATTTCATTTCCTATTACCTGTACAATGAAAATCACGTCAGCTAACTTACCAGTTCGTCTCAAATGAGCGAGAACGTCTTTCTCCCATCGATAATGACAATGTTTAATCCCATCACATTTTATTCCTGATCTTAGAGACTTTCTGACAAGGACTGGGAGCCTGCAAAAACCTGTTTTTAGCGACTGGAAGGGAAATGTTAATAGCCCGTTTTGTTAATAGCCCGTTTGTTTTCCTAATAAGAGACACTTATATTGCAGCATCTGTGGTCGACAACCAATTCTTACCGGTATTCGTGTTATACATCTTGTGTTTCCTGTCTCTGAACTTAGGAGTGACGATCCGGCGGGAGAAAGGATGGAAAGATTTAGTTTATCACGTTTTCTTCATTACGTCCTCTCCCACGAATCCCCCCATCAGTTAAGGGTGAAACTAGGCACTCTAAGCACTCGGTCACAGCCCTCTTCCCTCGTGTTCGGGGAGAAACCAATACTGATCTCTCCTCCCCTGGCAACACATCACCATGGAGGCTTCAAATGCATCGGCGGACGGAGTCGAGGATGTGTGCTGGATGTCTGGATGTGCGAGGATGTCTCACTGGTGCTACTTACCTTCTCTCCTATATAGGCGTATGTTTTTCCCTCCTTAACTTCCATTTTCCATCAGCAAAAAATCACCCTCACCAGAGTGTGGAGTTATCCCTACATGGGGCTGATAGTGGACGATAACCTAAGTTCTCACGCCAGCTAGAACCTTACCAAACGAGCAATTAACCAGAGCAACATATTTTCGATATGGGCAAGTTTTTATTATTTTCCCTTGACTGTAAAGGCTTTTTGAAAGAAGCTGACATGAAATACCCCATTGCAACGTCCTATGCACTAAAAACGAAATTAGTTGATGGACTATCGGATCGACTGATTTTTTTAATCCTCTACAAATACATTTAGATGAAGCCGGGAAGTAAAAGAATAAAAAATTGAGTGATGATGTTCCATTCAAGTGAGGATAGATTTTACGTCACATGTCGAGTAATATTTGCACTCTAGTCGCATGCAAAAGTTGTATGGTTTTTGTAAGAGCATGCGCACCGAAGACCTAACTCGCATGAAATTGTGAAACCAAGTAAACTCACCGGGGAAATGAAAAGAGAGGGTCCACACGCTACAAGCCTAGATCTGACCAAATGATTGAGAGCCGTTTCGCAGGAAGCTCTTCCCATATGGAAAAGGCCGAAAACCGTATTAGCAAAGGTATTACAACTTTTTTTCATGAATTATTATGGAGTGAAATCTAATTTGGAATGACTTCATCGTTATGGATGGGAAAAGCATCACTATAAGGGGAAAATACTAGCTAATGGAAAATTTCAACACTAGCAGCCGTCCGAGATGAACAGTCGTGTAGGTCACTGCATTGCAGTTCAGGGACAGCATTTTGAGCATCTGTGCTATTCCACATTTTGAAACTAACTTTTGGGCCACCGGAATATGATGATGCAAATGAAAATAAGAACTTGTTCATTATAATTAACTTTCGTTCTATTTAGAAGACGAACGTCATTGTGCTAATATCGGATGAAGACATTCGGGCGATCTTCGCTGAAGCTGTTCTTTTGATGAAAGTAGAGAGTGGATCAACAGTGACCGAAGTGCTCCAGATCTTCCATCCGAGGGAATACCGAGGATGCGAGAATCCCCAGGTTATGTGCGTGGGAGTTGAAGACCCTTGGGTGGTGGAGGGGATCTCCCGAGCCATCCGTACTCTCTTCATCGTCGACAGCGGAGCTCATCAAGTAGCGCAAAGCCGGTTGGGACTCTGGTGGGAGATGGAGCGTCGAGGCCTCCTCCCCCACCGTCCTCTCTCATCTCCTGCCAGAAGACCCAGAAAACCCTCACTCACAGGATGACTGGAAAACACTAATTTCCATCAGCCGCTTCATAAAGGTGTAGTTTCCCTGCCTCAGTGTCTGGATTCACGAAGTTCCTTATAGCCTTCTGTCTGACGTTTCATGGTAACTCCATTGTGACTAGCATAACAAGAGAACTTGCACTGCGTAGATAGCAGCTCAATTTTACGTGTACTTTATCCTTCCAAGTCACTATTGTTCTATACCCCTCGTAAGTACGCCCATCAGTGATGTCACCGATGGGCGTACACTGATGATTTAAAAAGATTAATCGGAGTTGCACAAAATGCAACTCCGAATAGTCTCTGCTTAGTCTCTAGATGGAGCCTAACGAACATAACCAAAATTAGAGAAGCGGACTCCCGTTGCGTGAATATCATTGTGAGTGCTCTCTATTTTATATACAATATGAAACATCAATTGTCTATCATCTGCTCAGAGTCTTGCAAACGTGGCAACTTGCATTGTATCATGTGGAAAATATTTCAAAATGATCAAGCCCATTCTGAATCAGCATGGATCCTGTGACTAAAGTAACTATGACGAACATAACTGTACCTGTAAGGACATATAAGGGTAGTTGATTCAGTAACTATGCAGTCAGCAATAATTAAATGGACATCGTCTTAATGTCTGATGTGAAGTTCGACATCATGAAAACGTAGAGGAACGGTAGAGGTTTCGGAATCCTGGCCTTTTGAATAATTCGAAAATGAAACCTGCATTGAAATAATTACTCAGATTTATTGCGTTTTACTCACAAGGTGTTTTGAGCATGGCACTCTTCTTCCTTCCATCTCTATTTTCATCCTTTTCTTGAATGTTTCTCAGTACGTTGCCAAGCAGGCTTCATCTTTCTGCTTTCAAATTTAATGCCTTCATAATTTCCTTTCCAGAAATTCTATGGAGATTCCTCTTTTGTTGGTTCATCAATGTTTTCAATTCCCTTTCCCTTCGACTGCTGTTGTTGACACAGTGGAATGTAGCATTGTAATAGCAGGACATGAAGGTAAATTTTTTCGCAATATCTTTGCCAGATGATGGGAAAACAGAAATAAATAGGGAAGTAAATTGGCCGGTCATGTTAGGCTTGCCATTTACCACCCCTTTTAGAAGACGAAAAAAAAATTCAGAAGTAGATTGGAACTTGAACCTTGGAACCCAAGGGGGAAAGTTCCATCAATTTTGTGACGAACATAACAAGCGGTCATCATTCCAACTAAGGCTACACCTATTCAAATGGTTTTCAAAAAGAAACTTTCATAGAATTGCGCTTTGTCAATTCTAGCTTATAATTATATCGCTGTAATACTGGCGTTTCAAAGGAAACTGCAAAGTAAAATCACGTATTCAACGAAAAGAAGCAGATCCTAGAGCTTAACTATTGGGATCATGTAATTTCTCAGGGAAGTGACCATTTTAACAAAAAGGTCGTTCAACAGTTTGATATAAATACCTATCATTTAGTTGCCGATCATAGTATGCCACATTTATACAACTTATATTTAGAACTCAATATTTACCATGGAGTGTAATTCCCTGCTCTTGCATAATTTTGCCCTATGTATATTCCTCTCTGCAGATCCCTGTAGGTTCTTGTTTGAAAGAGGATGCAAGGGGAGAAACGTTCTATCGAGATGGTGAATCTCGGAATCGCTATCAATTCTCGACTAATGGAAGGGCTGAAGATAAAATGGTCTATCTGTAAATTGAAAACATATATCCTCAAACTATGCATGGAAATAATGAATATTTCAAGGACTCTCTTCTGAAATGTGAAAAACAGAGTTTATAAAGAGTTACACTTCGTTTGAAAAAGATTTTGGAGCATTTTTCGATTTGTAGCAATAGGTTCAAAATATCGACGTGCACTTAAGGGGCTGACTACTACATCTAAAGAGCAACAAATGCACGTACAATTATAATAATGTCCGTTCACTGGTTCTAGAGATACAGGAGGAGTTTCAGAGCGTAAAAGTCCTGAGGCATTGCGACTAGAACTTTACGGGCGCATAATTCAAAATTCACTTTTGTGCCAACTACCCAATGGCTGACAGGACATGCATTTAACCATAAGTACATTATTCTTACCTGTTTTTTTATTTATTTATTTATAAAAGGAGCTAAGTGAATGGTGGGCCCCGCTGCCAGTGGTGGACCGCCACATGACTCCCGCCCACCATGGTGAGATCCTCCCAACACCAGGGCTGGCAGAGTGCAAAAACCTGGAGAAGCTGTTGTGAACGCCATGGGAAGGTGACCCATGACTCAGGCGTGGTGAGAATAGATGAAGCAGGTTGTTATTTGCGACATTGAGCCATGCGAAAGGAGTATGAGGAATGAAATCTAGGAGTGGCCGCTAAAGTGAGAGTGAGAGGGGTCTGTATTTTTTTTTTTTTTTTTTCATGCTCAGAACGAGGAATAGAAGAGAAGAGAGAGAGGAACGAGTGAATGAATGATGATGATATTCTTCCGCGGCAGAAAAAAAGCACTGCGCGAAGGAATAGGAGGGGTCAGGAGATGGAGTGAAAATCAAGTGAGAGAGTAAAGACTTTGGTTCCGCCCTCACCAGTTCAGGTGTCTCAGAAAAAAAGCACTGTTGACACAGGAACGATGAGAGCGGGGTGGTTCAGGGGTCAGGAGAAGATGAGTTAGTGGTTTTTCCTAAACGTTCCAAAATTTTATTATAAGGATAGGTTTTACTTAAGAGAGAGGAGCGAGTGAGTGAAGGATGAGAGAGAAAGTAAGAGGATAGAGTGAGGGAATGAAGTGAGAAATCCCTTTGACCGAGAATTCGCTCATGATATTCTTCCGCGGCAGAAAAAAAGCACTACGCAAAGGAATAAGAGGGGTCAGGAAGTGAAGTGAAAATCGAGTGAGAGAGTAAAGAGGTTGGTTTCCACCCTCATCAGTTCACGTGCCCCAGAAAAAAAGCACTATTGACACAGGAACGATGAAAGCGGGGTGGTTCAGGGGTCAGGAGAAGATGAGTTAGTGGTTTTTCCTAAACGTTCCAAAATTTTATTATAAGGATAGGATTTACTGTGCTTGAAGCGCCCTATAGTGAATTTCTTATTTAATCTTTCAGGAATTTCTTGAATGTCCCCTGGCCTTTTAGCGTCATTATAATAATTGAAAGCTAGCTCGGAAGCGTACTGAGAGAGAGGGGTGAGTCCGCTGATTCTATAAATATAATAGTTAGGAAACCTTACCTGTTTCACACTTGGAGGATATGCTCAAACATCTGCCTTCAATCTGCACACAGGCATGCAAAATCGGTCGAAACCCAGACACTGCACTATCTTCTCTGCTGCGACAAGAAATGATGGGTTACCTCTCCCTCGCACTGGGTACATCCGATTGCAATGGTCGCCTGCGACCTCGCTTGGAATAAGATGCTGCATTTTTTGAAAGAGTTGATGGATTTTTATATAACTTTACAAGAATGTGTCTATTTCATGTATTATTCTGGTCTCAAAGGCGATCTGCCATAGTCTGAACCAATTATGAAAACTACTAATTAAAAACAGTTCCAATTTCTTTTGGATAGAGAACAGTTTGCTATTAAACATACTTCCCAAAGCTACCATATTCAATGTCAAGTCAAGATATAGTCAAGATAGTTAGTGACATCAAGAGGCGATTTCGCCCATTTCGATATCGCGTGTCGAGGTCGAGCGTTCCTTAATTTTAGGGTAGGCCTAACCCTCTTAGAGCTGAATATTTTTTTTTTGCCTATCCTAGTTGCTTACTGTCTAGTACCTAACGCCAACATTGCCAACCACCTTTTTGCCTGTCCACGAAAGCATCTAGTTTCTTCTTAAAGAAAGTCACAGCGCGGGGCAGCCACTACTTCCTCATCTAACGCATTCCATGCGTTCACCACTCTGCAAGTAAACAATTCCTGCCTCGACCTGAGCCGCACCTGCGGTTTGCGCAACTTAAGTCGGTTACCTCTCGTTCTCTTGCTGTCATCAAACTGGAAAAACCTACCACACTCGACATTATCTATTCCTTTAATTATCTTGAAAGCCTGGATGAGATCGCCCCTCCTTAACCTTCGTTCGAGCGAGTACAGTCTCAGCACTTCTAAACGCTTCTCGTATGATAGTCCCCTAACCTCCTTAATCATTCTTGTGGCCCTCCTCTGTACTCCCTCGAGCGCCAGCAAATCGCCCTTATTTGTAGGCCTCCAAAACTGGATGCAATATTCCAGCTGGGGTCTTATCAGCGCCGCATACAACGGAAGAATAACGCGAGATGCCCTACTTGCAACCGACCGACGAATGTAACCTAGAATTCTGTTGCGGTTGGCCACCGTCGCTTACGCGTGCGAGGAAAACTTGAGGCCCTCATCGATAGAAACACCTAAATCTCTCTCTCCGTTTCCCTCATCCAATTTAACATCGCCGAACGTGTCAAGAGACCAACCGTTGTTTCGACCGACGTGAAGAACTTTACACTTACTTTTATTAAACCTCATGAGTCATTTCCTGCTCCACTCGTCCAAAAGTCTTAAATCTCCCTCGGCTCGAGCCCTATCCGCCTCCCCCCTTATGGTAAAACCTATCTTGGTGTCGTCTGTAAATTTACTTATCTTACCCTCTACGCCGAGATCCAAATTGTTTATGTAGACCAAAAACAGAAGCGGTCCAATGAAAATAGGGGATCCAGCTATACTTTTTATGGACATTTTCTGCTGCTTCACAATACTGCCAGTCACCCTTTGAACTTTGGAAGTAACGTTAGATTATTCTTTATATAAGTTTAAATACCTAAAAAATAAACTTACATCTTTTTAGAATTCATGATTGACAGAATTCCAGCATATGTAGATTACAATCCTAAGAATTGCGTCGCGTAACCCTTTCCCTCTTCCCTGATGAGTAGGAGGCATGGGGAGTCGATTCCGATGAGAATCACTTTCACATGATTGTTTTTAGCTTCGCAATTTCTTGTAAAAACGACTGAAGCTCACTTTAGATTCATTTCCATGGATAATATTTATCTGACAGGTCAGCAGAGGATTTTCACCATTGGGGAGGGTGATGGCGGAAGAGTGGGGAGATGGGAAGTCATCCATCCTTCCCTGACTCTCTGGGTTCAGACTCCCCATGGTTTAATCGACGTGTTACTCGCCCACTTCGGCAAACTCATTCACTGCAGAGGGGAGGAAGTGGAGATCCTCCATGTGGAGGAGAAGGATCCCCATGAGGCCCCCTACCAATGGGATGAGGTGCTCCGCATTCCCCCTCCATTCCTCGTTGATGATACCACGGGAATTGTCATTCAAGACTCTCTTTTCCTCATGGGAGGGGTGGGAAATCCCCGGGAAGTAGGCCTGGACTTCAGCACTGAGTCTTGGACGAATCTCTCCCAGATGAGAGAAGGAAGAAAAATGGCAGCTTCAGTGATGACGAACCCCCACACCTTCCTGATCTTAGGAGGTTACGACCACGAAAGCATCTCTCCAGCTGCGAGTACTTCGACACGAGAGTGGGAGAGTGGAGCCCTTTTTCACCTCACATTCCGGTTCCTCTCCAGAGTCATGCAGTCGCACTCTTCAATGAGCATGTGCTCATCTCGGGTGGATGGGATGGGAATGAATGCATCGGGAGACATGATCACAGGATGATGAGAGATGGCGAAGGAAGATTTTCTGTCATAGGCGGGAGATACCAAAGAGGTTGGGAATTGGTTCAGATCCTCGAAACATATATTTTGACTATGAACGAAGGTAGAGGATGGCAGACTAAAGAAAACTACACTTTCGACGTGCCTTCAAGGCAACGGATATGAGGTCAGTTACTAGAAGGGAATTTCTTGATATCCTCTTCCATTCCCTTCCATCTCACACAGGAGACCAACTTCAAACTCCACTCCATCTTTTCAAAATATTCCTCAATATCTTTTGGTAGGTTCCATTGATCTGGAGTGCAACATGTGCGGAAATAACAGAGACTTCCATGGGTCCAACCTATCCATCGCTATTTTGCCTTTCTGCTCTGGCAGGCATATCAACAGGCTAGAGAAGGAATTGAAAGAACCATGCGAGCCTTGCATTTTGAAATGAACACGATGTTATTTCAAGGTTTCGTTTTTTAGTAAAAAAGCGTCATGGTACTAGTAACTTTTCCCCCAATTATTTTATGCTGCTTTGGCAGCAGGCTGCAATAAAATATGGCGATCGCATGTCACCTCGAATCGGTATGAGAGTGATGGACTTTCAGTTACCCTGACTTTGTCACCAATTTCAATAGTGGAATTTCTGTAGATTTAGTCTCAGGAGACAGTAGATCATATTGACCCAATTTTCCTGCGCACTGAAGGGGCCGGCGATGCCTGCAAGCATACATTCGTCAACAGGCTTAAGTAACCATCTTAGCATAGGAAAATATACCAAGACTTGGTGTCTTTTGAACATGGACGATTCCTTCCATCCTATTTATCAGTTTGCGACAAGGGCGACATCCATCCTGCATCATAAGGGAGAGAGAAAACACTCAGCGATGAGGCTGAATATCAGCTCGTCGTTCTCTGTAAATAGCCGATTAGATATCGTTCCGACATGTGGAAAAGATAATCCGTTTTCCCCTCATCCAAGCGTTCTGTGAAACTGGATTTAAACACATCCTTTCAAAACGATCTGAGCCAACACTTCCTTGAGAGAGGTGAGGTGTTTCTCATGTTGAATTTCCTGCGATGCGTATATTTTCCCGTTCATTCGAAAAAGTAGTTTGGGATGTATATGTATTAAATGCAGGTTTTTCCTATCTATTTTTTGGACCACTTTTAGACGGGAGTCACTACAATCTTCACTCTCATGCTGAAGCTTGAAGAACGTTTATTTATGAGGATTATATCAAAGTATTTTAATGTCGTCTGAATTGCAACCTGTGTCAACGAATGTCGTGGTATCCTCCGCAAGGATGCCTAATATGCTTTTCAATTATTCATGCATAGTCAGCTTTCCATACTTTTACGTACCGAATTAATTTATCTAGATATTTTTGCAGGGTACTCATACCACCGTAAATGCTGTCTCATTATACTCAGGGGCGCGTTGTCACCCAATTGTTACTCTGCTCCTCGTTCGGGGAAAACCCCCCATAATGATAATGCGCTTTCATCTTCGTTGGCGGTTACATTTTCCCATTTCCTGCATCTGGTTTTTAATTATTGTCCAAGGACTGCCATAACGTAGTCGTCTAGGTGATCCTAAGCTGTAGATTGCATGAGCCAGGTAATATTTCCAACATTCAGATGAGTTCACCAAGTACCGCCATTAAAGTGTAACCTCTGTCACCTCCCGCCAATAGGATTTGGATTGAAAACCGAATGAAGAGAACTCGGTTCTCATTTCTTATCAGGTATAATCTCGTACATTTTCGGCTCTCATCTAATGTTTCTCCGAGGCCTCGGAGGTGAAAACGCAAATCCGACGCGATAGGCATTATTCAGACGCATCCCAAAACAAGAAACCCTATTGACCCATACCGCACACTCATTGGCCCCATCGACCCATAATGAAACCTCCATTGGCCCATGATGAAACCCACCCTTCCATTCCATTCCTTGGTGGGCCCACAGTTTCCTCATCGTCTTATCCATCATTGCACAGGAAAACAAGATTAATTTGCGGATAATCGATTCTGTCAAAAAATAAAGCAGATTCTTCAGTTGCAGTGGAAAAAACCACGTTGGACTCTCTCCAAAGACAGGGTCAACTCTCTCTTGCCCAAGATGAAACTGATCCTTCCGTCCCATTTGCTGGTAAGTCTTCTATTTCCTGTACTGTATTCCTTTCTGCGGATGCACATAACCAATTTTCGGTGTGCGGTACTGAGCAACGCTATCCATCCGAGTGGCGTTTTCCTCTCCTACCCTGTCCGTGTTGATTTTCATGAAATGAGCACGGCCTGGAAGCTCTCGGCAACTGTATTTGATGAGTAAGTATTGACAGGAGCTCGGCATCTGTCATGTTCTTTTTCCTTTGTCGACTCTCGCAATTCGAGCGACATCCATAGAAGAACAATTTCAGAAACAGCTTCCTGTCGCTCCTGTAAGTTCTCATTTAACGTCGTCTTTCGACATCTCGCACGTGAAGGAAGTAAATCTGGGACTTGGCTTGGCATGGTTCATATTTTGCTGGCGTGTTGAACTGATTTCCCGCGGGCTGTTTGCGAGTTCAAGCAAACATAAGGTTGTCCATATAAGGATTTCAATTGTGTAATACTTGTCAATGAAAAAGTCTGGGTGAGATTCCTCTTGGATTAAATGGAAGAAGCCTTCCTAGTAGCCCTATAGCTTCAGAGGACCACGTACAACCCACTCAACAGCGACTCTCTAAGTATTCTGCAAGTACTCCAATAAATTTATTTTTGCGTATGTGATGTGATTTCACTTCCTCTCTAATTTCACTCAGCTGACTTGGGTATTGGTCAAACGTGGACATGGGCAAGAGGAAAAACAGTATGTGAAGAGAGCATTACACGAATACGGACAGATGGGTAAGCCAATGGCGTCGCACATCTTCTCAGTGCCAGCACTTTCATCAAAGATAAATATTTAATACAAGAATGTAAACAAGCGTCATTGATCCCATTTCGCATACTTGCGAGAGGCAGACACTAAAAAAGCGAGTAGGAGTTGCTTTTAATCTCAAACTCTCCGCACGCAACACTTCCCATATCTCGCGATCAACACCGAATATTCTCCTCAGATTTTTCGCCTTGCCCATGCTTTGCAGAAACACCCACAAGCCCATTTACAAATGCACCTTTCCTTCAGATTCGGAAATCCCAAAGGACTCACTGCGAAAATGCAAGGAAGAGAAGGCGGAGGGACGAACGAACGACGAGCAACATTCGAAGAAAAAGGAAGACCATTCGCTGACGGGGTGAGACCATCTCTCCTACATGGAAAAAACAGGACAACCAATGACTTGAAGTTGAAAGCATGGTATTGGATCCGTCTTTTTTAAAACCCAATTCGATAATCCAGAGGCACAAGCTCTGCAGAGTTTCATATTCAGCAAAAGACCGGCCCTTATTTCTCAATTCAATAAAAATAAGACTGCTATTTGAAAATATAAATATTGGGGCCAATATCTCTCTTTGACCTCGAAATTGAATAATGTTGTGCCTACGACCCTCAGTAACCGAGAGAAATGCCTTAATTACTATAACCACCGTTTAATTACAAACGGGGTGTGAAATTGATCAATTGATCACCCCTACCTTCTATGCTATGAACCATATTTATTTTTATTACTCTCGTTAATTGAGAGTAGCAATTCCTTTCCCCTTAAATACCTATATTAGACAGGGTGTCCCAAAAGTCCCTATTTATTTTTTTGAAATAGGCTGCGTTTTAAATAAATGGCTCAATGGTATGATTACACCTTAATTTCTATGTAATATTCAAGCATTAGATTACTGTCAGGACTATTTTCAACCTTTCAGCTTTTTTAATTTCAGATCTATATTATTGATGATGAATGTGGAGGAACGTGTTATGGTAGTAACTTGTCGCATCAGAGGAATGAAATCTTGTGAGATTAGAGACAAATTCACAAGAACATTTCATAAGCCTGGAGTTACAGACAAAGCAATTCGTGATTTCGACATGCTTCAACAGTTTCTAGAACACCAACTTCTTGCAGATGGTATTCTCGACACTGTAGTCTTTCAGCAGGATGGGGCACCATGTCATTATGCCAGAATTGTTCAGACATACCACAACAAGCGTTTTCAAAATCGTTGGATTGGACGTGGGGGAAACAGGCCTTGGGCACCGCGATCTTCGGATTTGACCCCATTTAATTTCTTTGCTTGGGGTTTCATTAAATCAGAGGTTCATCGCAGAAAAATTCGAGTTTCACCAGATCTGCGAGATCGCATCAGGCAAGCCGTTCAGAAAATAAATCCCAAAATGCTCGCAAATGTGTTCCGCAATGCAGCAAACCGATTTGAGATTGGCAGAGATACTGATGGAGCGCACGTGGAAACTATTAATTAAAGATTATTGTAGCGTATTTTTATTTCGATTTGTAATAATACTTGTATTTTGTATGGAAATACATTTGTATTCAACTCATTGAGCCATTTGTTTGAAATTCAGCCTATTTCAACAAAATATTAATAGATAGGGACTTTTGGGACATCCTTCATTTCTGGGCGATGAGGTGTAATCTGCCGAGTCCCTGTCCCTATCACATCAAATCTATCATTAATTTTGACACAACAGGACGGGAACTACATCTGAGACGAAGAGACGAAACAATAAACAACCCCATCGTGAAGGGACTCAAAAGGTTTGTGAATCATTCATTGGCTCTGAACTTCGTTCCCTGCTTTTTTTAAGCGATGGGTGACGATGCATTCTAGTCACTTTTAGATGCAGGGAGTTCCTGCCTGCAGTAGATAATGTGTGTACGTTTCAGCAAATTTTTCCCGCGAAGATGGACCATTCTCTGCAAACCTTTATGTATATTAATATACCTTTGTATATTAATAGCTACATTCTTATTGATTATGAAATATGTTGTTACAATTAAAATATACAATTTACTTATATCTCGTTATACAGAAGCAACAGAAAGAGCCACACGACTGCAAGGAGTCCCAGAAACTGGCACATGTGAGACAGTTGGAGAAGTTCGATAAAAACCCCCGAGAACAAATGAAGGTCCGCCTTGATGGAGACACAGTGTTCTCGTTCACTGAAGGAGCGAAAATGTATCAAGAGAAATATTATGCCGATACAGAGAGGGCTTACGCCTTCCCCGCAGGATACGTCCTGAAAGAAAAGGAACAGGAAAGATTGTTCAGGAAAACTCAAGACTTTAAACCAGACGGTGGAGGACGGGAGCCTCGCATCAAGCCGGCCGATTTGGCTGTTGCTACTGTTTTCCATATGATGAAGGAAGTCTTCTCCGGGTTTCCCAGTCTGGTGATATACGATTATGAATTCAAGGTTACGTTCTATACAGCCATGGGAATCAAAAACGCAGCCAGGCAGAAAAGGGCAGAGGAATCGTGGAAGAAGAAAGGATTCGAAGTCACAGACGGTGACCACGACGTAATGGCTATCATCTTTGAAGGAAGCAGAGTCCTCGTCCTTTTCTTCGAGGTCAAGGCGAGGGAAATAGTCGACAATGAACTGAGAGATAACGTTGTTGGAAAAGCCGAAGGTCAACTGAGGAAGAGCGAGCGTGTTTTTCGACAATTCGTCGAAGCGACAGCGTCTTCTCCCACCTTCCAATGCAGTTTCGTCGCTCTGCCGTACCTCTCGAGGCGTGACGTTGCAAAGGCCTTGGATTGTAGTTGTAGTGAAAACATTCTCACCAAGGACGATCTCGAATCCGAGGATTCATTTTGGAGATTCCTTGCGTCACATGGGATTGCTCTTACCATGCATGATGAACGCGATCCAGTCGCTCATGAGTGTTACTTGGACGTGATGAAAACCTACGTAGCCGCTTCTGCTTCCGTGGATGGAATGCCTCGGACGGACGAAGAACTCCGAAAGAATATTGGCCAAAGGATGCAGACCGCTTTAGAGCTTCTCACTCCTCGCCAGATGAACATTTTGGAGAAGGAACCGTCTGTCCTCTTCTTGGCCGGTGGGCAAGGTGCAGGGAAAACATACCTACTGCTCAAGAGAGCCCAGAAACTAGCAGAAAGAAGAGAAACTGTAATTTTCGTGAACATGTCTGACGGAGAACTAACTGGTTACATCAAGATGTGGCTGGTTTCGAAAGAACTTGAGGACTACGTCAAAATATTGGATTCCAAGGAGTTGCGAGGGGGTCGTCAGCATGAAATCATCGACTCTCTTCTTGACATGATGAATGCCCAAAAGCACGCTCATTTCCTGATTGATGAAATGCAGATCAACATTGAAATGAATGAAAAGGATCCGGAAGAGATCGGGCGAATATGGAAAGAATTGGCAGAAAGCAAGAAATGCCGAAGTATTTGGATCGTCTGGCGTCCAAGTGACGTCATGTACCCAGAGAATCTTGATATTCAGACAGTCATTGAAATAGTCTGTCAAGAAAGAGTGGAGATGCTGACGGAGATCAAGCGAAACACGAAATACGTGGGGGAGTTCGTGGTTGAAGTTACTCGATTCATTCAGAAAAGTTTACCCTGCTTTACTTATCTCCCCATGAGAGGCTTAGAATATGGACGTACAGAGGACCTGGGTCTGAAGAAACGAATGGCCCAGGTCATCTTCATCCAAACTCCTCCAGATTACAACTGGGCGTTCCTATGGGTGCCAGATGTAGCGAGGACGATCCAATCCTCCCTGAAAAACTCCCGACACCTAACCATCATCACCAGGACATTCCAAGAAAGAGATATTGTGGTAAGAGAACTCGGAGGTCGTGGGAAGCAGCGAGTCACCTTCCTAGATTCGAACGGAATGTTTCGAGGACATCCCCAATCGACGTTTCTCGTATTCTACCATGACCAGGTTACCGGAATGTCATTTGATGATCTCATTTTACTCGACGATGGGAATACTTTCTATCGCTCATGGTCCCGAATGGTGAGTATGGCCCGACGATCTCTCCATGTCATCACTATGGGCCCATTGCCATCAGGTCACTGGGACGAACCTGAGCAAATTGGACTCGTTTCTTCGTGCCCCTTCAGAACATCTGGATTGCCAAATAACGATGACCTGTATGAACCACTGGATGAATGTTCTTATCCGCAGACATCATGGAACCTTGAATTCCAGCCATTTGACTTCTCTCCATCCGATCATGAAGCAGAGGCAAAAAGTATCGAGCTCATCTTCGGACCAAACCGTTCCGGGAAGACTTGTTTTCTAGTGCACCGTGTGAAGAGACTGGCCGAGCAAGAATATGAGGAAGTGAGGAGAGATTCCGTGGAAAAGCATGAAGAAACGTCGCCGAGTGATAGAAGACCCAAGCAATGGCTGGTATTTGTCGACTGCAGCAGATGGAACAGGAGTGTGCATCCGAGAAGCCTCTCCCTCGTTATAATGAAGGAGGAGATGAAGAGAGCGGGACTGGAAAACACGATCGAACTCTTCGACATCCATGACCTCCTCAAGCAGTTTCCCGGAGGAGGAAATTTACACACTCTTTCCCCTAGACTCCTGGAACAACTTGCATTGAAGATGCTGGAGAAGGGGGAGGAAGAAGGACGAACACTCCACGTGGCCTTCGACGACGCACCCATTCACTCCTACGTAATCGGATATGCAGACACGGAGGGATCGAGGGAAGAATGGGAGTCCGTTTTGGGAGTCCTCTCCTCTCGATTGCAGGACTCACTCGCTTCCCTTACTATCGCCTTTCAGCCCTACGTCCAGTATTCAACAGCCACCTTCGATGTGAAGGAGTTCATGAAGATATTGCAACACTCTCCAAGAACAGGTAAATCACTTGTTATGCAATTCAATAGAACGAGGAATAGTTCGGATGACAAAAGAGGACGCAAAGAAAGTGATGCGGGCGGTAGGAATCGAACGAAGGGCCTCTTGATTACCGGTCTAGTGTCCTAAAACCACACCTCCGAACCCAAGACGTACGAAAGCATGTGACGGGTGCGTCATCTCCAGTTATTTCTTAGCTCAGTTGCTCTCCAATAGCCATATCAACAGGTACACGCAGCGTGGCATGAGGCCATTAATGTTCGGAAACGTGCGCGGCGGGTTGCGATGTGAGTAGCGAGAGACCGTCATCGAAAGCCCACACAATAAATCGTCCTGCGAGGCGACGATTTATTGTAACGCGTTGATGTTTGGGGTGCTCTTCGTCTTCGCTCGGCGTTGGTTCCCCGTCCAATGACGATTGCAAGCTTAGGGCAGACCGAGAAATTAGGGGTGCTTTTGCCGCGTCCTGTCTTCTCATATGGCCAGCCAGGGGGAGGGGGACGGGAGTGTGGCGATCGCTTCCCATGGCCACATGCACATTCATTGCCTTTAAATATTTCCTTTGCTTTTGCACGGACTACCTACTAGTTAGCATTTGTATGGGAACTCTTGGTTTACGCTTTACTTATTTACGGTTTTTTAGGTGTGAGGATCATGAAGAACGGATGTAAAGATGTGGGTTTTCCACACTTGCTCGAATACGTCCTCTCCCACGAATCCCCCAAAGAATTGAGGGTGAAACTGGGAACACTGAATACAAGGTCACAGCCATCCTCTTTAGTGTTCGGCGAGAAACCCATCATCATCACTCCTCCTCTCGAGGCACATTATCATGGGGGATTCAAGTGCATCGGTGGTCGGGGTCGAGGATGTGTTGCTGTGACTGCTGCTGCATACCTCTTATCCCACAGATACGTATGTTCCTTCTTTACTTTCATTGTTTCTTTCTTTCTCGACACACCTTAATATCCCAAGGACGATGTAACTGCCAAGTGAAATTAATTTTGCGTCGCTGAAGTGATGAACAGGTATGCCTTGCGTATTAAGATGCATTATAAAATCCGATTCAGCCTTACTACTTCACATAAGTATCTGTAACGGCAGAATCAGTCCCACAGATGAATAGCCGTTGGCCATCGTCCTCATTCCTATCTCAAACATAATCCACTAGCTCATATGGAAACGGAGAGAAGAAGTGTAGAGTGGGGTAAGGTAGTACAAAATTAGGAAATTTTCATCTCAGGAAATCTGTCATCCTTTCTACATTCGATGCTGAAACATGCTGTTTTGCAGCCATGACGAATTATCATATCTCAACTTCCTCTCTAGTGGTCATCTTCAGAGGCACAGCTGCCCTGGAGTAAGAATCAATAAACCGTAATAGGGTTGGGGACTTCAACTTCTCTTAGGTTTTTTGGGGTAAATAATCCTCTTTAAATCCTTCTTTCTTGAAGAAATAATAGATTTTTGACTTACAGCATACAGCTGTCAGGCTTCTCAGGTAATGGACAAGTACTATGATAAGAAAACCGCTGAACTGTAGAGATGTTGAACATTCATCAATAAGCAGAAAAACGTATACATTTCTCATCAACGTTATCCAATACTTTTCTGAAGGACAATGTCGCAGTGCTTATCTCTGATGATGAGATCCTCGAGGACTTCACTGACGCTCTCGAGAGGATGACGAATGTTCCAACAACGGGGGAACGCCTAAAGATTTACCATCCGAGGAATTACCGCGGATGTGAAAACCCTGAGGTGATGTGTATAGGAGTTGAGGATTCGTGGGTAGTGGAGGGGATATCCCGAGCAGTCCAGACTCTCTTCATCGTCGACTGTGGGACTAATCCAGCGGTGCACAGCCGGATGAGGCTCTGGAGGGAGATGGAACGGAGAGGCCTCATTCTCCACCGCCCTCAGGCATCCTCCCCTGCCCTCGATTCCCTCTCTCAGGATGACTGGAAAGCTTTAAATCAAAAAAGCCCGTTTTTAAAGGTGCGACTTACCGGCCTCAAACTGAATCTCATTATGAAACCATCCCAGTTTTCCCATGCATGTTCCCTAATATGAACATGACGTTTCGTCACGGTTCCTTTATACATTCCCAGATTCCTGAAAGTTTCGCGAATGATGGAAGCGCGAGAAGTGATACCTCTCTTAGAGACGGTAAGTCTAAATCTAATATATTCTAATATACTAAATATTCGACTTTGGAGGTACATGCCCTGGTGGTATACATTTTGGAGGGAGAATTTTTTTTTTAAATATATATTGTGACGGATGAGAATGGCATTGATAGGAACGACTGGATGTCCCGGTTTCGGTGGTGTAGCAGTACCACACCTGACCGATAATTGGGAGGCACGGGTTGAACTCCTGGCCATTCCAAGGATTTTCCTTTGGCTTCTCTTTCCTTCATGTTCCATTACTCATTCTCCCTCTATAATATTACTTTTGCTTGAATAAAACGGAGAGACATGGAAAGCTGAAACCTGGGATGGACGTGCCTACCGAGACATTGAGTTCAGGAAAAGTGCAAAATTTTAGGTCCATGGCCTCAGGGCATATTTTTGGGGACCGACGTTTTCAAGCAAAAGTAATATTATAGAGGGAGAATGAGTAATGGAACATGAAGGCAAGAGAAGCCAAAGGAAAATCCTTGGAATGGCCAGGAGTTCAACCCATGCCTCCCAATTATCGGTCAGGTGTTATTGAGCTAGTGTGGAAAGATGAAACTTGGTACATAACTACCTATTGGGATGCTGCATGTAGAAAAAATTCAGACTTTGGAAGTGGATGCCCTGGGGGCACAAATTTCAAAGGTAGATGTTTTCATATAATTTGTTTGCATCAGTTAAACTAATGAACATGGAAAGCTGAAACTTTGCATGAATATGACTACTGAGACAAGGAGTTAAAGAAAAATTATGAGTATCGATACATCCCCTGGGGGAATTTTTTTAAGGGGCGCTGTTAAAAAAATTGGTCATGGCGAATTGGAGAGAAATGGGAAAAAAGGTGAAACTTGGTACACCTATTAGTGACATGATATTATTGAGTTAAGAGAGTATTCAACTTTCATGGTGCATCCCCTCCGGGCATAGCTTTTGGTTGGGTCGGCTTTTCCAAACATGACTTCTTTTCAACATCGAAATGACAAACGTATTAGATTGAAACTTTGTGAGCATGTTGTTCACTGAGGATTGATTTCGGCAAAAATGGTACTGTTCGGTTAAAACGCCCGAGGGCACATATTTTGTAAAATGCGTATTTTCTCGATTTTCCTGATTCAGCAAAAAGGCTAGAAAGTTTAAACTCGGCAAAGAAGCACCTGAGGGATAGCAGAGTAAAGAAAAAAAAACTTTATATATAGACGATCGTGAGTAGCTGACTGACTGACACAAGTAGCTTTTCACATGCTTAGTTCAGGAAAAATTATACTTTGATGATACATGACACCTTTTCGGGGAACATATTCTCAAATAGTTTTCCTTGCTTCATTCAAACGGAGACACATGGAAAGCTGAAACTTGGCAAGAACGTGACTGCTGACGCACTGACCTCAAATGTCATGTCAAATTTCCAACAAATTTTGGGGGTATATTTCTTGGGGACGTAACGTTTTCGAATAATTTTTCATATCCCAGCGATAGGAAAGTAACAACTGGCGCACGCATAACAGACGTGATGTTGATTTAAGGAAAAATTCAAATTTTGTTGTGCATCTCCCCAGAGCACAGCTTTTGGGTGGGTCGCTTTTCCCAAAAAAATTTTTTTGACCCAGCAAAAAGAGGAAACGTATCAGGCTGAAACTGCGTGGCATGGAGTTCCCTGAGTCTACATTTCAGAATAAATTAAAATTTCGTTAAAACCCATCATGGCACTTTTTTTCAGTCCCATTTTCCTGATTTTTTTTTTGATCCAACGAAACGAAGAGGAAATTAAACTTCCCCCAGAAGTATTTGTTTTATTGCTGAGTACAGTAAAAATCCTGCATTTGAAATATCTCCCCATAGCGTAGATTATAGGAGGGAAGCATTTCAAAATGTATTCTCCATCCTTACAAAAAAGCGACACATGAAAAGATTTCAAGTTAGGCACACTCGAAATAATAGAAATAATGATTTTGATGAAAATCAAGTCTTTCGTCCCCATATGTCACGTATTTCAATGGGGACTTACTCTAAATACGTGTTTCCTATTTCGAAAAAATAAATGAATTCATCACAATCCAAGGTAATAGAGCGCCGAAGGCGCGACCATAGCGAGTTTGTTTGCCCTTCGGGCAAACAAAATCGCTAGTACAATATGTGAGTGACTTTGAAGTCATCTCAAGGTGTCACTCTACACATCAAGTCATTTAGCTGACATTGCTGCACCCTTACGGTATGGGTTGCCTGACTGGCCGAGTTCCTCGATGCCCTTCTTTTCTAACGTTTAACTATCCTGCATTCATCAGCCCTATTTTCCATTTGCCACATTAAACGAGGAACTAAGGATCCATGAAAATGTTATTCATCGGCCCATTAATCGAATAAATGGCTCACGAATAAATGCCTAATTTTTTCATCTATTGACAGCCATTGTTATATGCAATTGCTTTTGATGTTGTTGAATACATATGAATGAAGTTGTGTTGGCAGTTACTTTTTTTTTATCTCGCACAGAATTAATTTGGGACTGTGAGGGTTAAGGTGTTATTTGATTACCAATATAGTTTCCTTGATGTTGCTTCATAAGGGCAGTATCTGGACGTTTAATAATAATGCGTTTTTCTTTAATAATATGATTTTGTTATTCACGCAGAGCTTTCTAGCTCTGCTTGAACAAAAAAGATACATACAACTGAAGGCAGACACCGCCTGAATGTTCATGGATGTGGCGAGTGAATACTTCATGAAGTTGAAATTAGTCCCCTGTACTTTTCCAAAGTCACCTTTGCTTTCCTATGAACACCTAAGGAGAATGCATAGGCATCATTTATTTACTTTATAAAGAGTTAATCCAGCCCAGGGAGACTCCAGACGATTTCGACTCGGAAAATGCATGGAGGCTATTTGAGCTGGTACCCTCCATGAAATGGTGTGAGGAATGGCTCATGGAAGGGCAAAGCATTGCATCTTAGGTGAAACCTTCGAGAGCGTGGTTAACTTTTCAAGAGAAAGTAGATCTAGGTGCCATTAAACCCTTCATTTAGGCTATTTTTTTCCAACACTAAACTCCGGAGGGGGAAATGACTAAGTAGGTGATGAAAATTTATCTGAGAGAGAGATTTGCCTATCGGGGATTTTGAGGTTCGACACGTAGAGCGGAAGAACGTTTGGCAATGCGATCTCGCTTCACAATGAAGTGGACTACACTCGGTCAGATCTGAAGATGGCCAGGTGAATGATGACCCTGGCAGGGTAGCAAGGCCATTGTCATACCTATATTTATAACTCTTGAAATGGTCAAGAGAACGTTTCCATAGATATTCATCGCACTTTTCCTGTACTTAAAAAATGTTTTGAACATTCTTTCGTCCTTCCGGCGTTACTCGGGTGGTTGGAAAATACTTAAATCCTAAAACTAAGATGAAGAGCAGCACAAGGAGTTGCTGCGACTCAGGATATCTTGCAATTTGGTGACTATGTACACGACAGGATACATTAGCCGAGTGCAGCCAATATACCTGTAAATGCTTAATCACATCGATAAACCATGTTTAAGAGTTTTCTCTTTGATCCCTGTCCTGAAACACGGAGACTATAGAATACGAAGAATATAAAAAGGTTTTATTGTCATTATTATGCTTTCATGTGATATCGGGTGGATATCCCGAAAGCATGAATAAAGTAATTTCCTTGAGATCGCTTCCGACAGAAACCTAGGAGTAAATATAGGAATAGTTGATGCCCCTCAAAATCATCCGTGAAGCACATCATGCTCATTTGCTGTTCATAAATTTTCCTTGATAAGTGATGATTATGCAAATCGGATTCTGGTACTATTTGTATCGCCATTTAGGGATGCAGAGGATTTTCGCCATGGGAAAAGGTGAATACGGACCATCAGGGGTATGGGAAGTGACTCAGCCCCACAAGAACCTCTGGGTGCAAGTGCCCACTGGAACAGCGGATGTGTTTCTTGCCCACAAAGACAGGCTTATCCATTGCAAAGGGGGAGAAGTTCACATATTCCATTTGCAGGGGAAGGATCCCAACGAGTCCCCTTACGGATGGGATGAGGTACTCCACATCCCCCGTCCATTCTTCATTTTAGGAAGCACGGGAACTATCGTTCAGGAGTCCCTTTTCCTTTTTGGAGGGGCGGGAAATTCACAGGAAGTACGTTCCCTAGACCTAGGATCTGAGAAATGGATGCCCCTCTCGCCGATGAGAAATAAAAGACTCTTCGCTGCTTCGGTGATGTGGGACCCTCACACAGTTCTAGTCATGGGGGGTGCGAACCCAGAAGCAAGAGGACCGATCTCCAACTGCGAGTGCTTCGACACCAGAACGGCAGAGTGGATTCCCTTCCCTCATCACTTTCCCGTTTCTCTCCACTCCTACGCAGCCACCATCTATAACGATCATGTATACATATCGGGAGGAATCGGAGGAGACGAAACCAGGGGGCAGGTGTGGAGGTTCAGTGTGAAAGGGGGAGAGGCCTGGGAGACACTTCCATCTTTGAACATGAAAAGACAACATCACGGAATGATAGGTGACAAAGGACGTCTCTTTGTCCTTGGAGGGACACAGCGACGAGGAAATGAGGACATCATGGTTCTTGAGATGGAGACCTTGGCCCTGGATGGAAGAAGAAGATGGGTGACCGAGGAGAAATTTCCATTCAAAAATATATTTAAGGCAACGGAGATGAAGTGAGTTCCTGCTAAGTGATACCAGTCCATTCTTGTACTCTTAATCTTGCAATCAAGAAAAAAATTGAATTTAAACTCTATTTTCCTTTGTAGGTATGATTGATGCCATTCTTGGGGCGCTTTTCAAATGATCCTTCCGTGGCATGACTTGCAAAAGCAACGACTCCTCTCTTTTCTCCCATCACTCGTTTTGGCATAAGGGTTAAGCACAAAAGGCGTTATTGGATTGAAGATAATAAAATTTAAAAATATTGAACAATGCTTGCGTAAAAATGTAAAAAATACAAAGCACTTAGCGCCGGGAGAGTTCATAATAAGATGTCTGATCAACAAATTCCGGAACTGAATGCTGTGATGACTCTTTCCGTCTACTGATTTCTATATCTTTCAGAGTAGCCCTCTTCGGCATCTTCACAATTTTTCCGGTGCTTTTTCTGCCGCTGGAAGCATTGCCGACACTCACCAGCAGCACTCGCATCGCGTTTCTTCCAGTTCTATTTTTGTTTCGAAACAGAGGGAATTCCTTCATGGAGAAAAAAACACATTGACTAACAATTTGGCTAGATTAAAAAACAAATCCGTGAAATTCCTTGCCGGGATATGAAAATGAATCTTCTTGATGGGCATGTGGCCTGGAACGCGTGCGCTTAGAGCCATTTTTTCAAGCCCTAGGAAAGTTAGGAAACGGCTCCCCAAAAGAAGGTTATTAACGGATGAGATGCAAAAAAGAAAGCATCGGCTACAACGAAAATTGCACCTCGTCGCATGCTTGTCTGGTAGCTCCGTAGCACCTGAAATACTCAATGCAGTATTGTGAAAACCAGTTTTCCACGGTGTGCGGCACCGCCACTTCGCTGCCGCCTGCCGTGCGTGCGCCTGTCTGCGTGGATGTAAAAGACAAGCAACAGCGCTGCCTCCACCCCTTTTTTTTGTCCTTCACCTAGAAGCCTCTGTCTCTCACTCACTGTCAGTGTCCGCTGCAAGCTCCCTGCCTCTGTTTTTCACATGGATCTGTTGCAGTGGTATAAAATCTCAAATACATTTGGTGTGTGCATTTCACTGGTGTTTCCTTGCTGAGGAAAGAGGAAGACACTGCGCATGCGCGATCAGCTCGGACCATATTTAGCATGGAGTTCGTGCGAGAACCTGTTCGGGCGCCATAATCTGTCCGGTTTCAGGATCATTGTAACCCTCATGAATAGTACTCCTAACCAAACATTCTTTCATGAATAAGGACGGTAACGATATGCTATCGCTAATAACAGGATCAAATCCCGCAGCTCCTTTTCTATTTTCATCCTATTACTAGGTCTTCGTCAGGCACTCTCCCATCGTTCCACATAGCTAACGTTAGGAACTTGATGGAAGTGACTGGAATGGTATTGGCGTTGGCATAAGCGATTTGCGAAGGAAAACTGCGTATTGGGTCAGAGTTGAAACTCCCCATCAAGCATAGAGTATTTTGTTTTGTATTGTGTAGAATGCCAGGAAACAGTGATGATGATCATTTATTGCCTCAGCAGATATACATGAAAGTGGTCATTTATGTTAGGCTATGCATCGTTTAATGTAAAGACCAAAAGGAACTGGAAAAAGTGGAAGGGATACAGGGAGTGTCACACAAAATAGGCCAAAAGGAACATTGTCAACATATGTGGCATATAGATTACAAGATTATCATTACCAATAATCAGATATATATGCACAATTCTTGTCCTCCAGGAAGAATCACCCTTGTTGGTAGTGTCCATGGCAGATGTGGTTTAGAGAAGAGGTTTCTGAGAACACCATCATACTTGGTCTGCTCCTAGTCAGCTAGGCAAGATGGAAAATAGTGACATTCGTCCTTAGCACTGTCCTTGTGTGCAAGACATGCATGACCAAGTCTGTGGTGCATCCACAAAGCCAACACACTTGAAGTGAAACCATTTGAGGCATTTTTCACACTCTACCATCTTGTCATGCAATGAGGCAGGCATATTACAAATACAGTAAAGCTCTACCACTTGAGATGAAATTGTTGACTTTGGCCTTTTGTTATGCACCACAGGGAAAGGTTCAAAGTTTCCTTTGGTAATGCATGCCAAAAGATGCTTTCGCATCAACTTTTCATTATATATCATACAAGCGTTGTGGGATCCAAGCCATGGCACAAAGCTGTTGCATTTGCTATGGCGAAAACACCACAACTTGTCCCATCTGTTTGTCTTTGCACTGGATAAAAATCAACAGTCCGACTCCCCTGATTTCTCCCATAAATTTGAGCCAGTTGAATTTCCATAGAACGGTTCAGTTTCAAATTGCGCTTCATGAGAGAGTCATATATTCTGATCTGTTGCTCTCCTGCAGGCCTGAAAGAAACAAGAAAATTCATAGCATCATTGTAATGCATTTGAATGACATCCTTCAATGGATTATCAAAAGAAGTAAAACCATGAATTGTTTGATATCCTTGAAGGAGCTGGAGTCCTTCAGCTGTGTTTGAGAAGGACTCAGCTAAAATCCTGGAGACATCATCTAAGAGGAATGTATTTAAGAGGAATGTAAGAGGAATCATTTGGTAGTTATCTGTAATCACTTCCCAGATGAAGTCCACAGTAACTTCCCATGCAGGCTTGATTTTTTATTTATTTCAAAGTTACTAGTTTTTACTTCTGCATTGATGACAGGTTACATGAGGGTGCGAAGGTGTTGCACTTCAATTAAAGAAGGTAAATTGTTCATATTGCATAATTTATCTCCCCTTCATATGTTTGTGCTGCCATGCATACCTGAAGGGATTATTTAGGAAATAACTTCAAATTCACCTCGCAGGACAAACGTGGCTTCCTCTTGAACATTAGCTCATAAGGTGAGAAGCCTGTGGAAGAATGGATAGATGTCCTGTATCCAAACAAGACAGGCTCCAGAAACTTATCCCATTGGTTTTCTTCATCAACCATTCTCTCAATTCCTTTCCGGAGTGTCTGGTTTGTCCTCTCATCTAAGCCATTGGTTTGTGGGTGGTAAGCAGCAGAAACACGATGCTGAATTTTCCAATGATTGAAAAGTTCTTCTTTGATCTGAAAATTGAATGATAAAATATCAAACATATCATCAAGAAGGAAATTACATTTGCATCTTGAACCGATCTAGTTTCATACATTGTTGCAGAATTCTGTGCCCTGATCAGATAGGTTCTCAGCCCCAAGGATCGTACTAAGAATAAGGACAGATTTCGTTCATCTGAGATTGTCAAAGTCCTCAATCAGTTGAGAGACTCATTACAATGCTGATTTATTTGACAAATTTCCAAGAAGAAAGGTATTAACTGTCATTAATAGTTATTTCCAGCTGGTGAAAACAACGTACCGATAAAACAACGAGTCAAGACATCTTGCTACGTGATTTGCCTCCTTGGAAGGCAAAGGAAAGGCTTCCACCCATTTGGTGAAATAATCTGCCACAGTCAGGATATATTTCATGCCTGCCGGTGTCTTGGAATATGGTCCCATCAGGTCGATCCCTACCATGTTCCATGGGCTGCTCACTTTTATTGGTTTGAGTTCAGGAGCTGCCACTTTGTTTTGCTTCGTTGGCAGCGATCACAGTGGGATATCTAGATGGAATAAGACAGCAGAAAATATTGTGCAAACCATGTCAACTCTGAAAGCAAATATATCCCCTTCCTCATAGAAATAAAATGTAGTCCTCTAGAATGCTTAACTTCCAGATGAACTTTAGGAGAAAAATTGATTTATTTCCTTATTACATTTTCCTCTATCTGTAATAAGCTGTCTTTCTCAGGGGACCACCAACCTGAGCCGGCATATCATGGGTATATTTTGGTGTTTCCAAGCGCTAAATGCTTTTTGGTTAAAGAATGGCTCAACTATGCTTTCAACCTCATGGGAGTTACTCTTTTGCAAAGTTCTGTTACTTTACCTTCCCTTTCTTCTGAGTATCCTCTGATAAATATTGGGATTGATTTGGAAATACAAAGCATGGCTTGTAATAAGGCTCCAAACATCAGAAATCCTTGAAATTTTGATTCAGAAAAGATGAACTATTTCAATAACTTACCACTAAATTAAACTTGCCCTTGTTACTAAGATGCTTCTTGAACTGCATGAAAATTATAAAGCAGTGATGTGTTATGATGCTTTCCTTTTTCAATTCTGAATATCATGATTGTGGTGTTATGACTTACCCAATTTTTTATGTCTTGCACCATACTTTGCCAATAGAATCTCTCTGAGACCTATTGCAATGTTTTCTTCTCACCAAAGTGGCCACAACTATTGTGGCATTCTTCTAGAATTTCCCTTTTTTCTTTTTCATCAGTGATGACTCTCCTCTTCACCACCTTCTTCTCTCCCAAATAATATAGAGTCTCACCTATGGTGTGAAATGCAGTAATTTTACTAGTGCAATTATAACAGATGGAATACAATGTATGTCAGCTCTAATGGAGCTTGTATTTTTAATTGAATTTGAAGAACTATCCAGTTAAGCAGCTGAAATGTTAAGCTATTAAAAAATATAAGTTAAATTTAAATGTTAAGCCTGTGAATATTGCTTTTTGTATTTCCACAGAAATTTTTTATCCATTCAAGTTACTTTTAAATGAGAAAATATGCACCTTGTATTGATGCATAGTGTACTTTCTCAGATTATAGTTTCCATATTTTATCATGTGGTTTCATTACACTCAAAAAGTTAGGTTATGCAAAATCCATGACAATTTATGTCCTTGCTAATGTCTCATTGTGTCATTCATAACAATTTGACATTTTCTTGTTAACATAATGAACTTTCATCCTGTGAAGTAATTCTTACACTGGTGCTCATGTATGAATGAATCCAGGGATATTGATATTGCCTTCTAAAGCTTGACTTGCATGAGAGCTGTAAGTGCCTTTCAAGAAGGTCGACATTTTTTCCCAGGGATATCCATGCCTTTCACTCTATGGCAGCATGGCCCAATGTTATGCACTTCTCAGCTTCCGAGCATTTCTTATTTTGACAGACCACATCCTCAGCAAAGGTCGTCTACTTTCTTTTCTAAGAAGGCACCAATATCTGCATTCTTATCAACAAAGGAGGTATGCATTGAACATGGCTGGAATTTCAAGATGAGAACATGTTGGAGGCTAAGAAAAAGGAAGAAGATTCGCTGCTGCAATTGATTTTGAACTGTTTCCAGTCAATTACCACCATCATATGCCCTATGCATATACTGAACTTTGTACCCTGTGACTTTCATACCTTTTTGCAGCACTTTCATGTTGACAGAGTTTAACCCCACAGCCATTTCACACATTGTATTGTTTTCGCATTGCGAATTACTGTCATAGATTTCCCTTTGCTCGATTCTTGGTACTTTATGGACTTAAACTTAGAGCAAGTTCAGAAATGCACAAGCGACATCAGAATGATGTCGCTGTACAGTTGAAAGTGTTGAACATTTCAGTTCAAAGTACATTTCGAAAGTACATGCGAAAGTGAGGAAAAGTCATACTCTAAATGTATGCTTGTCATATGCCAGAGTAGTGAAAAACTGAGTGCAAAAGGGGTGAACAGGAAGCAGTTCTTTGTGCCTTCAAAAGTAAGCTCTAGACTCTTCCAAAGGATGTAGACTGCAGACATCCACATGAGAGGTGTACAGGAAGCTATGAGAAGTACATAACATGGGGCTATGCTGCTATAGAGTGAAAGGTGCATGTGTCCCTGAATAGTCTTTCTTCCTTGTGGACCCTCATACAAAGTGGTCACTCAACCTTAGTATTCAAGAAGTTGAATACAGTGGCTCACCTTCCAATGAGAACTTGGCAGCCTGGCGACGAATTGACTTCTTCGCAGATTCAGTGGCATTCTGGGGATAGGATCCACTGGCCAGGTAGCAGCGTACCCCACTGTAAGTTTCCATTATTCACCTGGGAAAAGGAATTGAAGCATTAGTGGGTTTGGAAACTGATGTCCAAGGATGTCCTAAGGGATTGAAATGTGGCTGCTGACATTCTAAGTCAAACTAAGACCTGTGCAATCCTTTTTCATGTAAGTAATTATTACTACTGTCCATGGTGTTCTCCTGTCACCAAGATAGTGACTAGTATAGCAAGAGTTCATGCTGCTGTCAAATTTTATTTGTATGTACAGGTTGTCCATAGAGTGACTACCTATGGGCGAATTTTTTATTATAGATCTTGAAAAACATTTTTTATTTATTTTGGAGATTGACTACATACCAACCTTGGAATGATGTCAGATCTTTTCCTCTTACACTTTGGCATGGCCGAGCACTAATTTCCCACATCTGGTGTTTAAATTTCTTTGATTCATTTGAATGGAAAGGAAATTTTAACAGATTCGATACAAATTTTGCTATTTGCCATTGCAACAACTACTTGCAGTTATCATGGTATCTTTTGAGCAATAGAGCGTTTTGGGAATTAAAAATCATAACAATTAGGGATTTATTCAACAAATTGGTTCAATGTGTCAACCATCGATTTCCATAAATTCCTCAGCCCTGGCAATTGCATTGTCATCAATATCTATGAGAATTTTAACACTTTTCTGGTTCATGGCACGAGAGATATTCCCACTCAAGTTGCTCAAATCTGTGAACTTTGTCCTTTTCATAAAGAATGCCTTTAATGTAGCCCCAGAGGGAAAAAAATCACTAGGGATCAAAATCTAGTGACCATAGAGGCCATTAGCTCTGCCTGACAATTCAGAATGCTAAACTAAATATGTCTGAATTTTTAATTTGCTATATACACAATGAAGTTGCTGGACATTCATTCTTGTTGCTTCGTTGCCATGTTGCCTCATTATAAAAAACTGTATTCCTGTTCCAAGGTGCCTTCATTTCCACAGAACGTTTTTGTGCCAAGGTCTGTATACAAGTATTACGTGCCAAATTTCGGGAATAAAAAAATTCCAAACTTTGATTGGCGTTTGTTCATGTTAAATGAGTAAATGCCAGAAATACACTTCAACTTCAAGGAGTTTTAGGTGTTTTACGAAAATATAAGAAAATATACCTTTTATTGACACATTTTTGCTCCGCCCTGTCAATAGAATAGAACGTCTGGAAAGTCTTGAGATATAGAGTGTTAGTATTTCCAATGCATACATTAATCCCATTTATAGGTGAATTAAATCCTGATTAGCATTTCCTATTCGTGACACGGATGCCTCGAGGTGTTCGTAGTTCCTGCTCGTGCAAAACAGACTCATATTCATGTATATATGGGTTTCTATCGTCAACCGAGCAAAAATGTATTTACTATTTAGCGTCCTTACGTAATAAATAAATGGAACTACAACCGAATTTAACATGCAAGGAGAGTAAATATGGGCGCAGACTCACGTGAAAGGGAGAGACGTTGAAACGAATATGCACGATGAAGGATGAAAAAGAAAACTTTGAAGGATACCGATGATACAACGCCGTAGAACAGAAACGAGTATCACAAATCAAGACCACAATAAAGGGGACGAGCGACCAAAGGTCAGAAAAAAATGGTAAAATACTTGTATTTATACAAGTTACCTCCACCCCTGCTAATCCACCTTCAGGTGGAGGCAATCCTACTCTGATTATGATCTTGGCGCCAGTCAACGGGGACAGAGATAATCTTACTCAAGGATTATACCCTCAACAGTAGTAAATAGGAACAAAAGGAAATTAAATATCTCCAATCTTCACTTCTCCATGTTTTCATGATTCAATCTTCAAGAGTGAAGATAAATGGGATTTTGGTTTGATGATGAAGATTAGGGATTATCCATCTGGGTGTATCTGTAAGCAGAACTGCATGACATTTTCTTAATTCTCAAGAGAAAAAAAACTGGGAAATCCTCAGTGACACGAAAGTGAACGGAGAGGTCTTCTCCCGTTGTCTGTTCCTCAAAATCAAAGTATTCGTAGATAGTAAAAAAATAATAATAAAAACAAACATAAATATACCGTTGAAATTGTCAGAGGGAGCTCATACTTCTCTGTAGGATTGCTTCGGAGGCCCCTATAAGATGGGGTTTATTAACTGGGCCTGTAAGGCCAGATGGTGATAGAATCCGGAGTGCGGGGATCTCCAGAGAGTTATCAGGAAAAGTATCTGGAGATGTTATCTGCGAAGGTTGCGATGTTCGGAGAGGTCCGTAAGAGAGACCTTTGTGATCGGCAGCAGGAAGTCCGTCCAATAGTTATCGTTGACTCCAAGGTGAAGACTCCTTTGAATTACTCAGGACTCCGGGTTTATATATAAAGGTGCGTAATCGGACACTACGCACAATTTAATACACAAGAAGACAACAGGGATAAGTGAATGGGGTTAGTGGCAAATAACAGCCTCACGCTGATGAGGGAGCCTCAGGGTCGTCCTCGTGCGTCCCAGTTGTCCGGTGGAGGACCACCGTCACCACAGTTCCTCTAATAGTCCGCACGGTCCTGTGCGGCAGCTGCGTGAAGGCTCGGCACGGCTTCACGCGTGCCGTGAGTGCGTCCACTCACTTTGGCTCTCGGCGACCCACTGCCGAGGGACTGCTCAGGGAAGGTGGGTCTGCGTGAAGGCTCGGCACGGCTTCACGCGTGCCGTGAGTGCGTCCACTCACTTTGGCTCTCGGCGACCCACTGCCGAGGGACTGCTCAGGGAAAGTGGGATGTCCTGGCGTACGTATGCATATGAGGGAGGAGGTTCTTCCCTCCGTAATCATTACGCCATTCCCTGCGGGGCTCGAGGAAGACTCCACTTCTCGTGTACCGGATAAAAAAAAAATCCAACTGAGGGGTCTCCATTCTACACTTGCCAAATTGTGTCCGAGGGTCAGAGGGAGCTCATACTTCTCGTGTACCGGATAAAAAAAAATCCAACTACAAAATTCAGTTCGTCTTTGTGTAGATGGATCATTTAATTTAAGATACTCGTCCCTCTTGTGCCTGCCCTGCCATGTCAAGTTGCGCCTGGAAGGCAGGATTCCTGTGTGCATGTGACACGCACGTGGTGAACCCGGACAGGCTCCGAAGGGGCGGGATCAGTGAATCTACGTCACTCTTCATGCGCATGCGCATTAGGAGTATCCGGACTCCATTTCGCCCGGACCGTATTTCGCATGACACCTGTCATTTTTTTCTGAGGTCAACTCAGAAAAAAAATCTGAAATGAGTTGGACCATCTGCAGGAAATTACAAATCGATGGTGGAGATCGAGTGAGAAACCTAGGAGAGACAAAATCCGGTCATAGAGACATCCGCCGGTCGTCATGTCTTTGGAATTCCCCCGTCAAAATATTTTGTCCCTATCGACATTACGCAGACATCATCCTCAACATTTGCATATGTAATGAGATATTTTGTCAGCATCCTTTCCCAGTGATTTTCTTCCTATAATTAAGCCTAAAACAGCAAGAAAGGGAAAACGCGTTTCGTTCACTTCCCCGACTTGCACCCATTCATGCACGAGACAAGCCCTCTCACCTTTTTTCCCCCCCCCCCCCCCCCCCCCCCCCCCCCCCCACTTCTTAGTGGGGTTTCCGAGCGACTGCTATGTAGAGCGTTAATAGGGCCGCTGACCGGACTCGTGAATACCCGAAAATGTTACATGCTTAGCCTCGGCTGACCCGGATTTCGTGGATGTCTTCCACGGATTGGGGTCCATCTCGCTTTCGAACTCGCAGTTTTTCGAGCCTTCGCGACTGTCAGATCCGTCCTCGAGAACGGGAGAGCGGCTGCCGCTTATTGTTCAAAGGGCCGCTAACTGATCTCGTGGATTCCCGATAATGTTACAGTTAGCCAAGGCCAGAGATGTCAAACGTGATTAAGCTAGGGGACGGATGGAACCCTTCAGCAGTGGTTGGGTCCACATTAGCAAATCTTACACTCAAGTTTCGATTGCTAACAGATTGGAAAGTCTACGCTTCTCCAAAGCCAACTGTTTACGTCCGGACCGCAAAGTCCTCTTCATCAGCTAGCTGATTTCGTCGGCAGTTAGACACCCTTCGCCAAGACCGACCCGAAGTTCATGGAAGTCTTCCACAGGTCATTCTCGAGAACGAGATAGCGGCACTCTCAACGATATAAACAGCAGCCGCTCTGAGTTTTAGAATTGCCGACTAAATTCGGGAATGCCCGAGAAACAGTTCGTGGAAGGCTTCCGCGGGTTGGGGTGCCCGTCCCACGCGCTCGAGCTCGCACTTTCTCTCCGACCTTCGCGACTGTCGGATCTGTTCTTGAGAATGGGAGAGAGTCATTGTATGCCTTGCACCCCCGGCCTAAAAAAGGGGTGTTCACCCCTCGATACGAACTTTCACACGGGAAAACTCAAGTACAACACTTGGGAGTCCCATTTTCATTCTCTCGAAGGAGAATAACTCCCAAGGGTGAAAGCAGCGGGATCCCATCTGGGTCGGATAGAACAGGGGGGCTTATCCTTGGATCACCAGGAAGCTGCTGGTCGCGTCGTTCCCATCCCGTTTCCATATTTGTATTTTTCACTCAGGTTTGCATGAAAAGTGATGGTGATGGACTTTACGGACGATGCAGGCCGTGTTGTGATCAATAGGAAAAAGCGTCGATCAATGCGAGTACAGGGTTCCGGTCACTCAAGGGATAGAGTAGCTGCTGCTTATGGCGTTGAGAGAGCCAATGAGTTTTAAGGCCTCAGAATGGACTCGGGAACTCTTGTCAAAGAGTTCGTGGAAGTCTTCCACGGGTCGGCTAGTCATTAATATAGTATTTTTACAGTACCTTTTCTCAAACATCAAGAAACTGCTGAAATTTGCCTGCCAACTTTCACTCGTGATGCCCTCAAAAAATAAATGGTTCCCCCCACCCCTCCTATCTAAAGCCTGAACCTTACGCTTGACCCGACCATTCATTGCCAACAGACGCCTTTTAAACATGTTTGGTTTATCACGTATTAAGTGATATGAAAAAAGTAGTCATGTACTAGAAAAACATGAAAAGGGAAATTGATCCAGGCTTAGTGAGGAAGTCACATCGGAGTTAGTGAATGAGATGACAATACGAATGTCATCCCCCCAACAGAAGATGAAAGAGAACATCGTCCATAATTTTCCCTGTAGATTTGGTATTCCTAGCGGCCTGCAGGCCGTCTTATGAGCGAAAGTGTGAAAATCATGTAGGCCTACAACGGATTTCTGAAGTAGGTCTTGGCCAAGCATCTCAATGTAGTTATTTAATCCGTGCAGAGATGGCGCCTTTGCATTTTCATCTCAGTTTGACCGTAGTAGGATCAAATGTCAACATTTTTACAACGTGAAAAGAAATTCTAACAAGGGCTTTCGAATGGTGCGTCACACTAGAAATTGCGCCCAAAATTAATGTTAAAGGTCAACTCAGAAAAAAAATCTGAAATGAGTTGGACCATCTGCAGGAAATTACAAATCGATGGTGGAGATCGATTGAGAAACCTAGGAGAGACAAAATCCAGTCATAGAGACATCCGCCGGTCGTCATGTCTTTGGAATTCCCCCGTCAAAATATTTTGTCCCTATCGACATTACGCAGACATCATCCTCAACATTTGCATATGTAATGAGATATTTTGATTCAGCATCCTTTCCCAGTGATTTTCTTCCTATAATTAAGCCTAAAACAGCAAGAAAGGGAAAACGCGTTTCGTTCACTTCCCCGACTTGCACCCATTCATGCACGAGACAAGCCCTCTCACCTTTTTCAAGATCAAATTGCGCCACGGTATTTCCAATCCGCCAAATCTGTTGATGCAAACATCAGCCAAAGGAGCACGAGGCCACGACTTTCCGCGTTTTCTTCATAGGAGACAAGGCCCACGAACGTGCCCGCAACGAGAGCAGGGGACTCCTTCTGCTAGAGGGGCACTATCTTCATATTTGGCGTCCCAGTCGTTCGGCTTACGAGGATGCACTCGTTTCTGGACGAACAAGTTTTGCAGCTATGGTAGCAAACAACAAGTAGGGAAGGAACTTGTGCCTGCACCAGAGGTACGCGTGTTCTCTCAGAAGTGCATTCCATTCCTTTTAAAACGATTCCGCAATTCGATATATGCAAATTAAATGAAATAATGACAGATACCTATGCTCCCTAGAGGATGTTATATTGAAAGAAACCATGTAGGGTCCATGTCTGGTTTTATTCCGATGTTTGTGATTTCCGAAAATATGGATATGACTTTAGTTGTCTTCAAGGCCTATCCTTAGGAAATCTGGGGGAGGAATCGAACGTCGGGATCAGGCTGTACCAGCTGAGACTCATAAGGGGATTGAAATTCTCAGCGCAGTAGAGCGCACCTATGCAATACGCATGCGCCATCTAATCATCCATTTCACAAAACCAGACGACCCGCACAGGTCATGTCACTTCCTTCCGAGCTCTCGAGGCGGTAGGTTACTCTCTCGCTCCCTCACGCATTCATACCACTTCAGCGGTTTCCTATAGAGGAAAGCGATGCATACCGACTCCATGTAGTGACATTCCTTTGACTTTCCTAACTATCAAAGGGCCTTTCTAACGTAATAGCATTGAAGTTGGACTCGAAAGAATGAGGAAAATGTCCATGCATGTCTTGTGCGTCACAATACATGGTGGAACTCTCCCGAGAAGGAAATTTATCTCTAAAAATTTTTAGCCGCAGGATTTTTCTGCACCAGAATCATGAATCAAGGAGCAGAAGATGCTCGGAGGGAGAAAATAGCCTAGATGAAGTTTCACTCTTAGGTGTTCACCTACCACGTATGTAGAAAAATTTACAGAATTTCAGGTAGATGCAAGTTGCGCAACTTGAACGGTCAAATGCTCCTCATCATCCGTCTCTGAGAAAATAGGATATCAAGGATTTTCTTAGGATCCCAGTTGTCCAAAGCTGGCCACTGGGTCATTATATTTGTCTCTATAAACCATTTGCCGTCCTCTCCGCTTCATTTGACAGTTAATAAAAAAAATGGTTACGTAATTATGCTTTCACATATTGGTAGATACTAAATAGGAAAAAAAAACGGATGGAAAAAGAGTAGCAGACACTTGCAGCCGTCATTTTTCGGTGGCTACGGTCGGCTTTTGCAATGGGGAAAAATCCTGCTGCGCAAGGGAGCATAGGTGTGCTCCGAGACTAGCTTCTCTCGTTCCCGCTTATGGACATGCCTTCCTCACGTCCTGTACCCTCCACGTACCTTGGGCTGTAACATATACTTTTTTATGGCCGAGTACTTCCAATCGTCCACTGCATGATGGCCTCCAACTCCTTTCCAAATCAGGCTCGTCGACAAAGAGGTCGCTCTGGAATAAATGTCAGACGTTAAGCACGGTTTTTCTGTCTGCATCCTCAATTCCGAAAGACCCTTTGTCGATGATGTCCTTGATGGTCTAGAACCTTCCTTCGACACCCCCTCCAAGGAAACAATATTTTTCAATCAATTTCAATTCGTCGCTTAGGGAATTTTGTTCTAAAATTTTGTGCTACGACGGTGGCAAGGTTTCATATCGGTTCAAGCTCACTTGGCGTGGCGTGGCCCTTTCCGTCAAATTTGTTGCGAATTGGTTGAGAATCGCATTGAAGAAACTTGAAAGACAAG